CTGAAGGAACTGAGGCTCTTTAGTCTGAAGGGAGTGTCCCACACTGACAGACTGAAGGAACTGAGGCTCTTTAGTCTGAAGGGAGTGTCCCACACCGACAGACTGAAGGAACTGAATCTTTGAAGATTTTGAACTGTATTGAAAGACATCAACAGAGTCAATCCATTCTTCAGAATGGACAGTGACGGATCAAACATTTATTTCCCTTAATTCACTAGTTTGCTTTTACTGTGTAAATAAGTTACTAACATCATTTACTAACTATCCTGCTAGAATAATGGAAAATTACTAACTGCAACTTAAGTGTGAGCTGGCTGCATGCCCGGAACATGAAGGGCAGAACCAGCTTTGGGCAGACTGACCAAAAATGAGAGTGCCTGATATCTGCTTAAGCCATGATTAACAAAATCTAGAAGTACACAATGCCTGCTTAAACAATAATTAAAGGAACCCAAGAATATTCTTACAGTTTATCATGTATCTTGGCTTGACACCATACTGTATATGGTATGGAATTGTACTGGAACTGTTCTGGGTGGGTTTTCTGTTTGTGATGTTGTATAAAAAGCATCCTTTTGTATCAGTGAGTTGAGTCAGTGCTTCATCGGCTTTGGCTTCCGTGTGCACACGTAGTAAAGGTCATGCCTGCTTCATACACACCCGGATCGTGTCTGCTTTGTTGGACACAACAACAGTAAGACATGGACCAGAGTTATCAAATAGAACACACAGGGAAGCACAGTTAAAACTGAGAACAGGAGGTGCTTCTTTACAGAAGGGATGGTGGGAGTGTGGCACAAGCAGCCCTGTCATGTTGTTGAAACCACTGTCCTCAATTAAATAAGTTCATGGTGAAGCATTTGCAACAGCACAAGGTCTCTAGTAAAAAACTGAGCAAGGAGCCATCTGTACTGTCATTGAAAAAAACTATAAGAAAATACACAGTCTATTTTGTCACTAAGAAAGTCCTATCAGATCTTTTCCTCAGACCGTTAAGTTTGGGAAGACACAAAAATATTACAGTAACTGTAACTGACCTTGTGGGTCACCTGCTGTGATAGATGCTGCCCTGCACTGCTTGTACTAAAGTGCTGGTGATTCATGCAGCACAGGGTTCAAATTGCGTATGGCTTATTAATTAGGGGTGAGCCAAGACACCCCAGCAGATAAGCAGCTTACCTTCTTGATGACAAAGCACTCAGCCCCAGCGATCCAAGAGATCAGCGTGAGAGAGAGGAGGACCGTTCCCAGTCTCGTGTTGGAAGAGGACATGTTGTGGACGATTGGGGCGTATCAGCTGTGTCTCCTGTCTGCAGTAGCCTGTTCTGTCAGAGCAGTGAGAGTCGGGACAGTTTGCGCTCACTTATAACTGTTCCGTGCTGTCGGTTAAGATATCATCACCTCCCTCTTCAGTCAATAGAAGGATTGATTTTCCCTTCATATTTTTAAGACAACTTCCTCAAAAGTTGATCATGCCTTCAGCCCCTTAAAGTGCAAATACTCATCAAGTCCTCACTTACACAATGAAGATCAGATCAGGGGTATATCTAATTTGTCACACGCCCAGTGTCTCCTTTCTTAATAGAAACTTAACCAGGTGAGTTTTTTAATTCAAAGATGATACTGCCAAGAGTCACAATGCAGGAGTAATAATATTAAGCATATTAAGCCCTCTTCATGTGTAACTAAATTCACCATCTCAATAGCAATGCTACTGGCGATTGCTGCAGATCACAGTCCCATGCACTGTAAATTCCAATTTGTCTCTCAGTGCAGAAATCATTACTGCAATTTAGTTCATCTTTTTTTAAAATCCAGAGTTAGCATCCCTATTTAAATCTAAATTCTTAGTATGTTTTAGAAATCTGTAAAAAAAAATAATCGCAGGATCAGTGACATCACCATCTGAAAAGGAAGTTAATGTCCCACCGCCCTGCTTTCTGTTGGCCCATTTCGTTAATTAATGCAGACATGAAGCCTGAGAATTTGGGCTTTACTTTTCAAAAGCGAGTGGAGAAATGTGTTCACCCTGATCACTCCTGGTTTATGAAGGGTTACTTTTCTGCAGACAGCTTCCACCACCTGTTACTTATCACACATGAAACCCATAATTCAAACACTCCTTGCGATTCATTTTCTCATTGGATACAGGTGAAGCCAGCTGTTGGGTTAATGAAACTTGGTTAGTATCAGAGATATTCAGCTTGGGGGAAGTTTTATTAAAATGAGTTTCTACAGGGTCGATTAAAAGTGTGGATCCACAGAAAATACACATTTCTTCCGTACGAAACTGGCTTTGAGATGGACATGACGCCATGACCCACCGGAATGACCTCTCACCAGATCTTACCCCACTAGACTGGAACATCTGGAATCTGTGCTTTACACCCCAAAATGAAACTGTCACGGCCGACATCCCTTCCTCCAGAGGGCGCTCTTATCCTCTCTAGGTAGTCCTTTTAATTATTACTTCCTGGTGTGTCTAGTTCAGTCTCTTATCTAAGTTTTCTTCCCCCAGCCTTCGGGACTTGGCTTTGGAAAATGGTTGTCTTATGGCCTGCCTACCACCAGGCTTCACGGGGAAGTCTGAGGGTATAGGCCAGTAGTAGTCACCCTGACCTTCTGAGCCCGGGGCCTGGGACGAAGCCCCATATTCCTGGTTCTTGTTTTTTTTGTGTGTCTGTTCCTGTTTTGTCTCCGGATGGATTTCCTGATATATGGATTGTTTCCTGATTCTCCTGTGGAACCTGGATTTGTTGGGAGTGGATGCCTACCCTTCACTTCTGCATGGACTTCCCTGTCATCACAGTGAGCACCAATAAACCTTGTGTGTCTTCCCTCAACTCCGTTCCCTATTCCTTTCCGGATTGGCCGCCTCGCATAGGGTCTTAAAATACTCTTTCCACGGGAGCCTCACCCGGCAACCGTTGCAGAAACAGGGTTTAGGGTTAGGGTTCGGGTTAGGACTAGGGTAATGGCTAAGGTTAAGGTTAGGGCTAGGGTTAGGTTAGGTTTAGGGTTCACTGGGCTAAAATGGATTCTTTCATTAGCAGCTTTATGTGCGTCAGTGGCAAGCAATTCAATTTTAAAGCACTACAGCATGCACAAAGGGGCAGAGGGTCGCTAAATTCACGGTTGTATCATTGGCCTTTTTAACTACAGGCCATCAGAGGGAGTCTGTTGTGTCATAAAGAGATGCTGAAGACGAAAAGCAAATCCCATGAAACTGCAAGACATTTGATTGGCAGATCTCTCCATGTTGTACAGCTCTGGCATTGCTAACCCCTCAGCTGTCTGCAGGGCAATAGAAAACCACAAGGATATAAGATCAACCAACACTTATCTATGTGGAACAAATTCTAACAGAGGCGTTAGTGTTCTCAACGACGGATTCAGGAAGGAAGAGCTTGATTTCCAGGACTTCACTTCACATTTTAATGTGCCAGGATCATCTCTCCTCATATCTCAGGTTACATTCCAAGTTAGCCACTTCTGGGTTTCCCAGGGGGATCGAAACATCTTATTTATCGGATCAGGTCTCGGGTGTTTCCTCTCTGGTCTCTGGTCTCAGCTGCACACTCACGCCTGCTTAAACACACTGTGAAAAATCCCCGACATGGTTCACACTGTGGGGAAAGATCTCATTTCAGGAGAAGGGCAAACTGAATAGAGTGTAGTCCGGTACAACATATTTCATGAATCTAAAATAATATCACTGTATTTAAATGCATCTACTAGCAACTCAAGAGCCCGTATGGGCTGAATGGCCTCCTGTCATTTGTGTGTTCTTAGAAAAAGTTGTTTCTGCTCTGACACAAGTATTCAAAATCCTAACCGTCAACCCAGCGGATTTACTCAGAGTCATCACTGAGACACGAACCAGACGCACAGGTGGAATCTACGTGGAACCGCATTTAAAACTTAAAACACAAGGCACTAGTTTACACAGAGGGTGGTGGGAGTGGGGAACAAGCTGCCCAGCCATGCTGTTAAAGCCGATACCCTGACTCAGGAAACAGCTGGATGAGATCCTCCAGTCGGGACAGGGGGCATTACGTTACACGGAGGGTGGTGGGAGTGTGGAACAAGCTGTCCTGCCATGATTAAACAAAAACGGCAGGATGGGCTGAAAAGAGCCCACTACAAAATGTGACAAGTGTAATGTTGAACCTTTGTTCTTATTTACTGTGGAGTTCGAAGAAGGAAATCACGGAGACGGGTGTCGTCTTCAGCAAGTCACAGTATCAAGTATATTTTCAGCTTCTCTCACGGCGCTGGGGCTCACTTCTCCCCTCCGCATTGTCATTCAAATATGATACAGAATTATCCTCTTTTGTCATCAGCCCCGGCCTGAAATTATAGAACCTATACGGTACATGCCAGCTTCTACGAAAATATCCCTGGGAGCTTTTCAAACACAAATGAAACTCAGTGAAAGTACAAAGATACAGTAAATGTATGTCAAATGGACAGATCTTGGAGCTTTGCTATGGACCCATAGAACCTGGTCCCCCTGGGTCCTCATGTCCTGGAGTTAATCCATTTTCTGACTGTCCAGTTAGGGGTCACAGGGGAGCCAGAACCTATCCCAACAAGCAATGGGCACAAGAGCGCTGACATCCTGGACATCATAAGGCAGACACAGACAGACACACTCGCTCACACCACAGCCAGTATTGCCAGACGTCACTTCCCCCAGCAGCATGTCTTTGGACTATCAGAGGAAATCAGAGCAAAGACACTTGAACACAGGGAGAACATGCAGACTCCACACAGACAGCACCACATGTCCAGAATTGGACGCAGGACCCCAGTGCTGCAAGACAGCAATGCTCACTACTGCACCACTGTGCCACCTACGTACCGGCTTCAACAACACAACTGGGCAGCTTGTTCCCCTCTCCCACCACCAGTGGATTATCACAGATTATATTGAGTAAATCATCAAGGAGGTATTTTATTTAATTGGGAATATGGAACATAGGTCAGTACAGCACTCCAGCCACAGTAAGAGATGACTTAAAAACAATGTGACGTTAGTAAGATGATGCAATTGTTGACGAACGAAAACAAATTCATCATTTAGACACGTGACAACCAGTTGTAAGCTCTTTGAAGTCTAGTGTTCCTCAGGCCTCGGTATTGGACATCCTACTATTCACCATTTATATGTTCCCATTTGGTCACCTATTAAAATCACAGGGTCAGAATTATCATTTCAATGATACTCAAATCTATTGCGTAATTGTTTCTCTGATATAAAAAACTGGATGACTTCAAATTTCCTTCATTTTGACAGCACCAAAACTAAAGTTATGGTTCTCGGCACCTCCCATTCACTATAATAATAATAAAAACTTTATTTTTTTGTAGAACCTTTAAAAGTGGCTTCTCGAAGTACTTTACAGTAAACAAGTACACATGTATGTAGGGCAATACAGTAAGCCTATCTGTGGATGCTGCTGTACTTGAATTTCAGTCTAGAATTGGGGGTGATAGCTGATCCAGGCTTGATGTTTGGCCCACATGTGCAAGATATTGTAAAGACATCATTCCTCAGAATGGCATACACCTCAGAAATAGCAACAGACTATGTTCTTTGTCATCTCTGACTGTAGCAATAATGCTGGTTAACACCTTCGTCTTTTCCCTATTTTGACTACTGCAACTATAGTCAAAATTACTGCACTGTAGTGGGGTGTCTAAATCTAAACTGAGCAATCTTCAATATGTCCAGAATTCAGCAGCCAGCATCTTGACCGGATCTAGTGCGAGTGATCACATTACTCCTGTCCTGGGGTCATTGCACTGGCTTCCTGTTAGGCTTCAAGCTGACTTCCAATTGCTCACCTATAAGGCTCTGCCTGGCTTGTCACCTCAGTACCTGGTTGACTTACTATCCTATTCCCCACCTCATGGCCTTTGTTCGTCTGCTTTGTGTCTCCTATCTGTCCCCCGTCTACACTATGGGTGTCAGAGCCTTCTTCTGCTGCACCCCAAAGCTCTGGAACTCTATCCCCAGGCCACTGTCCCCGAGACGAGAGGATCCCATTCTTTAAGAATGATTTGTAGCTAATTATCCACTTACTAATGGTAGTTGATCATCCAGTTATTTCTTGGAAGAAATCAGGGTATTGGTTTCAACAACATGTTGTTCCACGCTCCCGTCACCATGTGTGTGAAGAAGTGGATCCTGTTGTCAGTTATCCGAGCAGCTGCACTCCCAGCCAGCCGCAGGCAGGGAAGTGAGAGCCGAGCCGAACTCCTTCACTCCTGAGGCCCTCTAGTGGTGACCAGTGGCGTTTCGGCTTGGTGGTGTCTGCAGAGGGTGGCAGCTGTGACTGTAGCAGCGTCAGCACTTCTGGTGATCCAGTGGGGGAGAATG